GGTCCCCGGTCCTGTTGTTTCGGGTCTGCCTTGGTTCTTAACTTTTACCAGCTGTCCCGGTACGAATGGCTGCCACTTTTGTGTTCGGTGTTCTTTGTCGTACCTTGCCTTGTTGCACTGCTGGGCTTGCCTGGTTTTCTCAACCGCTTCTCTCTCCAGCTTGTTTTGCTCCTTCGTGGAAAGCTGTTCGCCACATCTTCCGAGAAACACATCAAGGGGCGTTCTGGGTCCTCTACTGTATATGATTTCGAAGTGCGTAATTCTCCGCTGTTGAATGAGATGTTGTTCTGTAATTGAAAAGGATTTCCGGTGGGCTTCCTTCCTAATCACCGTGATGGTTATTGAGCCGTTCCCTCATTATTCTGTTGAACGTTTCAATATGACCATTTCCACCCAAAGCTGAAACAGTTGATTGAAGACCAACTTTAAATTACTTTCGGTAGGACGGGATCAAAACCACTGCTTTCCGCCTCACGACCGGTATGGAGTTTAACGTCATACGACATACCTCTGCTGACCTCCAAACGACCATGAACATCGCGAGAAAGTTGGAATCGTAACCAAAACATTCCAAACCACAACAAGCTCGCATGTTATCTAATGAGGGATACAACCACTCATAATATGCCTTCCATCCCACAAAACAATATTTGAGACAACGGCCTATCGGCTGTTCTCAATGATTTGCGGATTTTCAAAACACCACGAAACAAATTTGTCTGGCTCCTTAAGGAGACAACCTGGAGCAACTATTGTAAAAACATGTCACTTTCGGTGAGTAAATCTGGTACGCTGTAGTATATACACCACCGCACCTAAATCATTGGAACATGCAGCTGCTCATGTCATTTTTCACAATGAACCTTTGTGAGCACTCATTGACACGGGTAGCGCAAAGTTATAGCTGCCCTAGTTTCCTCAGTGCTAATGGAGTTAACAAATCCAACGAACGTACTCCCGTGGCACCTGCTGCCATGTCTTGCGAACCCGGTGACCAACATTCTGTCTGCTTTCGATTCAAAGTATATTCAGTTCATCACGCACGGCTTTCGTTCGGTAGCACCAGAAATGAGAAAATGTACACAGCTAGATCATCGAAAGGATCAGATCGCACCCCAAACTCCACGTGTCCTGCTTAGTGAAAAAAGAGCTCAACGGAAGCCAGCAACCATCATGATACATACGTTGTTCACCAGAAAATTACGAGCGGACCGAACAATGTTAGCCCGGTATTGCGAACGAGCCATTACGTACTCCGCTAACCCCACGCCTGTCCTCAAAGACGTGATTTCTCTCGAATGCTGTCTCTAACGAAATCGAGCATAACAAAAGGTATGCAAGCGCGATCCGGTCCGAATCGTTAATTGTGCTTTATTGTGGTGGCATTATCATTAAAGTGTGATTCAAGCACCTCGAAAGGTGAATACTCAGCAGCAACATGCTTGCCATGGATGCAGTTGTAATCAGCCTCCTCGTGAGCTCATTTCTGCTTACCTCAACGTCCAACGCCGTTTTGGAGTCGAATAGCTTCATCATCAGAGTTAGGTCTTATCGTCTGGACCGCGAAAATTACCGATCCGATACGTCTAATGAGTGGATCATTTCATACTCTGTAATCGAAAGCTGCAAACCGATCTCTTCAGTGCTCTTAACGTCCGTAGCTTCATGCACTCCAAGTAAAGCTGTATGGCTTCAATCATAACGCAGCGATTAGTGAAGCTCGCTTCGCTGTGCTCTGCTTTCGGATGATGGTAACGCTACGAATAAACAGTGCAAGACCGCCCGAAGAATAATCAGTCCGAGTTATACTCCGGGGACGGAGTAAAAGACTAAACAGGAAACTGTCATAGCATGCATTACAGTCATTTAAATCCAGTTTCCATTCCATACATGCAACTTTTTATTGAATCGAAGCAACGTACAATAAGCCTTTTCACTTTAGCCTCGGACTTCGGTATCTGTCTTGTCGACCGTCAGTAGCCTAAATCATAAAGAAATAGTCAAACACTTCATCGTCTCCATTAAACTACCGTTAG